GCAGCAGCAGCAGCAACCTGACGATGCCCCAGAAAATGGGCCCAGCAGCCGAAAAGAGTGAAGCTGGAGAAGCAGCAGCAAGACGGCGGGGTGTATATACACCGCGGGCTCAGCGGGCAAAAGACAGTCACGCCAGATGGGCTGTTGCCGCAGACCAGTGGTCCGTACACACCCCAGCTGCTGCTGCTGCTGCTGCTGCTGCTGCTGAGGGGTGGCAGCAAAAAGAGGTTCTCTAGTGGAGGGTCAAACCAGTCACGCCAAGCTTCGACCCACTCGCCGCCTTCAGGAATAGAGCCGTCCCAGCCCTTGCTGCTGCTTCTGCTTCCGTTGCTGCTGCTGCTGCCCCAAAAGGCTGCTGCTGCTGCAGCGGCAGCAGTCGGCGGGCGCCGCTGCAGCAGCTGCAGCAGGCCGTCCGAGTACGACAGCAGCAAACGAGGTGTGGGGTTCACCTCCCCGGTTGTGTAGGCGTCCCCGTAGACGAACAGTGCGCAGCAGACGCTGCGGCTCGTGCTGCTGCTGCTGCTGCTGCTGTGTTGCTGCTGTGGGTCTAGCAGCAGATCCGCTAGCGAATCGGCCTCGCCGCCGCGCACAATCAGACGGTCATGCGGCACGCTGCCGAGCAGCAGCTGCTCCTGCTGCGACTGCTGCTGCTGCTGCCAGGTCTCAACAGGAGCTGCAGCAGCAGCAACGGGAGCAGCAGTGAGAGCAACACATCCCCCTTTGTCCACCTGGCGGCTCCTTTCGCTGCTGCATGCATCTGCAACAAGCAGCGTTGACTGCTGCGCCATCCCATGCAGCCTTCGGTGCTGCTGCGGCGGCAGCAGCCCCACCTGGGGCCGCAGCTGCTGCTGCTGCAGTGCGCCTGCAGGCCCCAGCGCCAGCGTGAGTGCGCCTTGGCTGCAGCGCAGCTGCTGCTGCTGCTGCTGCTGCTGCTGCGTTGGCCTGCGCAGCAGCATCTGCAGCGCCAACTGCACCGCTTTGACGATTTGGCCCGGCAGCAGCAGCGACAGCAGCCGCAGGGGAGCAGCAGCAGCCAGCAGCTGCCGCAGGAGCCGCTGCAGCTGCAGCGTTGCAGGGCCCCCGAATGAAGCTGCTCCCTGCGGCAGCAAACCTGAACCGAAAGTCTCATGCATGCACTCTGCCAAAAAGGCAGCCAAACCCTCCACGCCCAGCCCGCGGGAGGGGGCCCCCAAGGGCCCCAGAAAAGGGTATCTTTGG